AGCCCTCCGCTGGACTCTCTCCAGTAGCTCCTCATCTTTCTTGAACTGGGGAGCCCAGCACTGGACACAGCACTGCAGATGGGGCCTCACCAGGGCAGAGCAGAGGGGGAGGAGAACCTCCCTCGCCCTGCTGCCCACACTCCTCCTCATGCACCCCAGGATCCCATTGGCCTTCTTGGCACCCAGGGCACACTGCTGGCTCATGGTCACCCTGTGGTCCCCCAGCACTCCCAGTCCCTCTCCACAGAGCTGCTCTCCAGCAGCTCAGCCCCAGCCTGTACTGGTGCCTGGGGTTGTTCCTCCCCAGGTGCAGGACCCTGCACTTGCCCAGAGTTCTCAGCTGGCTTCGTTTCTCCCTAGGACGCCGGTCAGAAGCATTTTGGTGCCATCGTTTGCAAGTCCTGCGGCATGATCTACACGGCCGCGAACCCGGAGGATGAAGCCCAGCACATCCAGCACCACGAGAGGTTCCTGGAGGGGCTCCGATACGTGGTGAGGCGACGGCTGCACCCGCAGCGCCCCGGAGGCGGCGGGGGGGGAAGCAGCGCGCGAGCTCCGGGTACAAAGTCGGGATGGCTGCGGGAAAAAGGTTTTGTCGTCCAGAGGGGAGGTCAAAGGGTGAGTTGGGCAGTTCCAGCAACTGTCTGCCTGCATCAGTTTGATGAATGTAACTTGACTTTATTCCTGAAAGCTGCAGTGGTTCAGGTTACAGCTTCGTCTGCCAGAGTCTTCCCTGAATCACTTCCTCTCTCATGCTAGACCACTCACTTGTTGTTTGTTTGGGTGTTTTTTTTTTCCCCCCTCTGTGGCAGGGTTGGAAGAAAGAACGCGTTGTGGCGGAGTTCTGGGATGGGAAAATTGTCTTGATTCTTCCAAACGACCCAAAATACGCCGTCAAGAAGGTACATGTTTGTTTGGTTTGGGGTTTGTGCTGTAGATTAGCCTTCTGCTGGCTCAGCCCCCAGAAACGACCTCAGTGCGTGGTCACACATCGCTTGCCAGCGCGCGGGGCGGGCAGGAGAGCCGAGGGGGGCTGTGGCAGCGAGCCGGGTCGCTGCGGACACCCCCCCCGACACATCCTCGCCCTGCTCCCCGCGCTGAAGCGCTCGCTCTTACGTGACCAACATAACCCGAGCCTTTCCGTCCCGAGCACCTGGGGGAGAGGCAGCTGCGCTCTGCGAGAGGTGAAGAGGGGTGAAAGCACGAGGGAGAGCATGTTCCTTAATGTCCCCTGCACCGTTAGAGCCTGGTCTTGTGTAAGCACAGGGTTATTTGGGGGAACCAGTCCCCTCTCTGACAGGTTTCACGCCAAAGAACGCGCGTATTTCACTCTGAGGGTGACGGAGCCCTGGCCCAGGCTGCCCAGAGGGGCTGTGGAGTCTCCTTCTCTGGAGATATT